TCATCAGAGTATCCTAGCGTCCTGTTTGCAGGGCGGGCCGGGGTACAAGCGAGGTACTTACTTTGAACAGCGCCTCCGATCGTCAGTGGGCCCCCGCCCATTAACCTCTCCCTCTCCATGGGCGTCGCAAAGGGGAGGGAGAAAGGGGGAGGCGCTCGCCCCCCCCCCCCCCGGAAAACGAAAAAAAGGTGGGAAAAGGGGAGAAAAGAAAGGAAAAAGAGGTGCGAAGCCAGATTGCTATTAATTTGATGGGGGGGGGGGGGTACGGCAATAATGCTCCCCTGCTCACGATCGGCCAAATGATAAATTGAGATTAAAAAGTTACCGTGAAGACGGATAGTACGGAAGACGGAGAGTGCCACTCAATGGGATAGTACGGAAGACGGAGAGTGCCACTCAATGAGTGTGAATATTTTTTTGTACAGCAGCCGCCACTTATTACGCCGCCAGATAATAAGTGGCGGCCGCCACATAAGTCATAATGCCGCCACATAAGTCATAATGATTTAATTTTTAGTTATTAATTTTATTCACACTTTTTATGTAGCGGCTGCCACTTATTATCTGGCGGCCGCAACATAAAAAAGTGTGAATATAATTTTTTTTCTGTACGTGTGTAAATATTTTTTTTGTACAGCGGCCGCCACTTATTATCTGGCGGCCGCCACAAGTGGCGGCCACTGTACAAAAAATATTCACACTCATTGAGTGGCACTATCCGTGTTCTGTAAAAATCAGACAATCCCGCTGATGAACTTCGGTATCATATCCCTCGGACTTAACTCGGTTCTTCGTGGGAGCTTATTCGAGGCCGGCCGAAAGTTGTCCCAATCCTACGGTGAATCATTAAAGGTTTTGCCCTGCGCCGACGTATAAACAACGTATAAACACTGTTAGCCTATACTCAGTATGTTTCCTACGAGTGAAAGTTATTGGAAAACATCACTTGGGTGGGGCATGGGACTCGAACCCACGACTTCGTACTTTCCAGTACGGAGCTTGTGAAATCGGTTGGCTGGTTCTAATCCGATGAACATGTAGCGGCGGTTATGGTACCGCAAATAACTTGACTATTCATGAGATGGAACTTGCGTCGGGGTGATGTAAATCAATAGGTTTTGCCCTTCCCCGACCGGGGCCGTAAGTCCGGACTCCTCATAGGACCGACGCCTCATATGAGGCATACAATTCCGCCTCATAGGTCCGACGCCTCATAAGTTCGACGTCGGAAAAACGAAGCGTACTGAGCGTCGGAGCTTTGAGGTGTCGTCGGAGCCATGATGAGGCGTCGGACCTATGAGGCGTCGGACTTGGGCCTTTATTTGGTTGGGGGATACCATTTTGTCGGTCTTATGAGGCGTTGGACTTATGAGCGGACCCCCCCCCCCCCCCACGACCAGCAGTCCCGCAAGCTCGGTGGTTGATTGGTATTAATTTCGTCTGCACTATTGTAAGCGGGAGGACGCGGGTTTGAGTCCCACCCGAGTGATATTTTCCAACTTTCACTCAGGAAGTAACATACTGATTATACAGTGTTAACACGTCCTCGAAGAGCAACGGACCCTATATTGGTCACCCTGACCCAACCCGTTGTGTTTGGGGTGGGGTGGGGCTAAAATTATGGATTTTATATTACTTTAGACATCTCGTTTTCACTTGCAAAAAGTGCAATTGGTATTGTAAGTTTTTGTTTTTAGATGCAGGAAAAGGTTTATAATCTACGAACAAAGAGTTATTTTTGTTTGAATAGTTTCTTATGTGTTAGGTCTAACTTGCACCAAAATAATGCGCGGACTAACTGTACTAGCGCGAGTTACCGTAACGAAAATTACCGAAATATATCCGTCTAGATATTTGATTGCTCTATTTTCATTTTAATATTTTGATATGGTAGCATACTACTATAGTGACCTACACCCTAACGATGTAAGGGCATGACTATTAGGACATTTCCAAATGCAATTGTATTTAAATTCATGTTTGATATGCCATAAAACGCCATATCGATAATAATCGTATTGCTAAACCAACAGAAATTAAGGTAGTGTAGTCACTTAACTTTTAGGGATCTTCTGTGAGGAAAAAAACACCCTAAATGCTTTGATTTTATAGAATAACAGCACAGAGTTGCAGAAGACACCGTTATTGTGGCATGGCTGCGCCGTTCCGAACTTGATCTCCATAATTATGGAGATCACTGGTTCCGAAAGACCTGAAAGAACAGCCTGCGAAGAGCGCCCCCTTTGTCCTATCGTCGACAGACAGGAAAAAGTGGCCCCAGACGACTTGTTTTGCAATCCTTACTTCGCATATCGGCACCTCTCGGCACCTGTCTAAACTTTAATAAGATAAGCGCAAAATTTAAACGGAAGTGCGCCCTAAAGTCACCGGTTAAACATGTCTGCTAAGAACATTTTACCACAGAGCAGGTAGGATAACATTTCCTAAGATTAGAATAAGATGTGTAAATACTTCTGAACCACTTTTTAGAAATGTTAAATTCCACACTTTTAGATGTCTAGTTAGGAAAGAATGTTGCAAGTTACAACCTGACGCCACTTCCGCGATTGTGTAGGCCTATGGAGGAGACTGGCCGACTGGAAATTCGGCGATCGTGTAGTGGAGGGCCCCTGTTTTGTTTTGATCAAATTAGAGTCAAAAATGTTTTTCATTGCTAAAAAAATCACCTTTACAATCAAAAGAAGACTTTTGGGAGTAATTGCAGAATACCCCGCCACTCGGAAATACACCCCTAAAATCACTGGCTACGAGGTTGGAATCACTGCAAAAGAAACAATTCAAGTCCATTGCCAGCTACGCGGATACTGAGTGGGGTAATCCTTATTTTTAGGACCCCGTTCCTATATAGGAAGGGAAAGACTCACCAAAACAGTTGACTAAATGACACTCAAAATTGACATTCTGATACTTCTTGGCACATCTGAACAATTGGCAATGACACCTTCTTGACTTCTAAAGACTGCTTTAGCCTGCAAAAGTCACTTTGGTACTGGACAGACATCTGCAAAAGTCAGTTTTGAACAGAACTCGTAAAAAATAGAGGTGTCCTAAAAGTAAGGATTACCCTGAGTGGGGGTCCATTATTTGAGAATGAAGCAACACAAAATGAATGAGAGTTGCTGAACAAAATTCTAAGTCCAAACCAACCACCCTGTTGGCGGCTACGAGGCTACGGAGTGGGAGTCCCCTTGAATATGCTTGAGAACGAAGCAACACAAAAGGAATGGGAGTTGCTGAAAAATTTTTAAGTCCAAACCAACTACCCTGTTGGTGGCTACGCGGTCACAAAGTGGGAGTGCAATGGACTCCGCCCTGGAGCATGACGCATACTCGGCATAGTACATACAAGTAGCGCTGAGAATGTTTATTGAGGTCAATCAGCCGTGACCTCGTAGCCGGCTACGAGGTGGATAGATCGAGTGGCGGGGTATTCTGCAATTGTGCCGACTTTTGGGTAGACAGTCATATTTGAATGAATGTATTTGGTACTTTTTGGTAGGCTACTCACAAATTTACTCAGACTGGGACCGTCATGACCGTGAGTGCATAAAAACGTGCAAAATTACTACTGACGTTTTTTTACTCACCATTAGGCAGGCTAATTAATGCCCACACAACACATACATTAAAATGATATAGTTGCAAGCATGTCACCTGCGAAATTTGAGACCTTAAATCCAATTTTAAGGCAAGTTTTTGGCAGTTCAAAAACCATGCATCAACGTCAATCCCCATGCTCTGGAAATGTGTGTTTGATTCCCAATGTATTCTGGGTAGGTGTATGGAATGTCAGACAAGTCGACCGTTGAGACAACTCGACTCGGGACAAGTCGGCTGTTGAGACAACTCGACTCGGGACAACTCGACCGTTGAGACAGCTAACGTGCACGGCACGTGCACGGTACGGCCACGCGGTTGACCGGAGATGCGCGCACAGGCCCGGCAAATTCGAACGATGTGCAAGGACAATCACGCTGCGCTATATCGGCTCTGCTCTATTATGTGTCATAACTCCCAAACGGCGATCAGCCGCCGTCAAAATCCCCGGTACTATCCCCTAAACTAGGCCCAAAAACATGCGAGGCGACTTGTCTCAACGGTCGACTTGTCTTTCCATTTATCGCACATACGGTCGAGTTGTCTCAACGGTCGAGTTGTCTCAACGGGTGACTTGTCCCGAGTCGAGTTGTCTCAACGGTCGTCTTGTCTGACCCCCGGTGTATGTAGAGCCTTGCAGCTAACTTGTTTTTTATTCGATGGCCAAATGAACATAGCGCCCTCTGTTAAAAAATGAAACATTTTGCATTCACTCAGATCAACAAGAGGGCGCTGTTTTATCTACACGATAATAATGTTATAGCTGAGGAGTCTTTTTGCACAATGCATTGCAGTACACATCAACGTGATGTCTCACGTATGGATTTCGATAGCCCGACTGCGTCTTGCCGTACAGTACTATCGCAAGCTCTGTAGTACGGCCAGACGCCCAATGCTTCCACAGAGGCTGAATTTTTTTGGCCGCTGATGTAGCGATTTTGCTACAGATTTCGATCGAGATTATCTTTTCATCCAGGACACAAATTTCCAAAGTTAAGGTTCTTAGTCGTAGAGCAACTCATACCTTTTCGAAAAAACGTTCTTTTGTCTCAATATTTTCATCCATCTGGCCAAAAGCCGACTTTTCAGTCATCTTTCACAAATATCGTCCCGAAAATGCTCCCCCTTGCGATTTCAAAATGGCGGCCGCGCTGTAATGTATGCATTATGCGAGTGCGCTTGGGCAAGGTAATGAATATGCATAGTTTATGACGTTTGTCGGACACTCGGCGCGGCTGGCCATACAAACACGAGGTCATGAACTAAATAATGCATATTCATTATCTTGCCCAAGCGCGCTCGCATAATGCATACATTACAGCGCGGCCGCCATTTTGAAATCGCATGGGGGAGCATTTTCGGGACGATGTTTGTGGAAGATGATGACTGAAAAGTCGGCTTTTGGCCAGATGGATGAAAATATTGAGACAAAAGAACGTTTTTTCGAAAAGGTATGAGTTGCTCTACGACTAAGAACCTTAACTTTGGAATTTGTGTCCTGGATGAAAAGATAATCTTGATCGAAATCTGTAGCAAAATCGCTACATCAGCGGCCAAAAAAATTCAGTCTCTGTGGAAGCATTGGGCGTCTGGCCGTACTACAGAGCTTGCGATAGTACTGTACGGCCAGACGCAGTCGGGCTAGGATTTCGATAACTCTCTGCAAAATTAGAATTAAAAGCTGAATTTTTGGTGATGCAATGCTCACAACAGCAACTTTGCGAGGCAGAAGTTTCGGGGATTATTGAAGAAACTGTAGTGAGTAAGAAGCTTGCAAATTTGATTCACACTGGTTTTATTATGCAGCACAAACTTTTGCACGATATGGATACCTTAAGTTTTGGGACTCTCATACACAGTATTGAGAGTCCCAAATTTTGGACTAAAATTTACTGTGCTGTTTGGGCCTTGCGATTCAGCGCGCAATGCATGCTCAGACTCATGGTACATGATCGCACGGTACATTGCGTGGTGATTGCCATCTTTATTTTTGGGAAGCTTGTTGTCGCCGTTCTGTCATCATCATTTTACCCCCAAATTTCCCTTAAAAAATCAAAAGCCTGCCCTCTATCTATGACATTACTTCTGGAATCAGCCTCCGCTTCTTTACATTCTTTACATACTGAGTAACCTACATGTACACAAACTAAATAGGTCAAGTTTGTCCCAACTCTGCCAAAAATGACCCACAAAAATTCCCCGTTTTGCTCTGACACATATCCAAGACGACAGCAATCTATCAATCAGTCAAGACCCCGTACATGTAGTTGCATGGGTAATGTTGTCCCTGGTCTTTATAGTATCTTTTCCCCTTAGATGTTAGAAAATGGGTTTTTTTAAACCAATTTCAAGACCAGGTTTTACAGTGACATCATTTGTTACTTTTTGTAAAAGTGTTATTGGATTAAGGAAGTAAAGGGAAATATAAGATTTCAAATAAACACTTTGAATAATAGTCCAATGTTTTCAATCACAATACTGTTTTTTTTTTCAAATTTCTCTGGTTATTATTATGTCAGTGTGTGTACATGTACAAATTACCACTACTCCAATGGAACAACTCATAAACTTGCAAATCATAGTCACATGTAGCACAACAATACTTGTCCCTTTCTTTGTTGTTTAGCATAAGCTTGAATGGGAGTTACGCCAACGTGAGGAAGAAATCGCTGAGCTCCAGAAGGCCCTGAGTGACATGCAGGTTTATCTCTTCCAGGAGAGAGATCATGTCTTAAGGCTCTTTGCTGAAAATGACCGCCTGAAGATACAAGAACTGGAAGATAGAAAAAGGTGCGTGGGATTGTCTGATGAAGATGTTTTAAGTCTTGACTAAGGCTCTCAGCTAATGTTCTGCACTGCATGGATCATAGTGAATAGCTGATCTGGATTAGTGTGTTGAGCTTGTCACGGGTGTTGGTCACTTTGCTGAATTACCACTTCGCCGAATAACCACTTAGCCAAATGGCATCAGGTCAACTCGGACCCAAACCAAGTCGGACCCAAACCAAGTCGGACCATGCCAAGTCGGACCCACGCCAACTCGGACCCACTACCAACTCGGACCCACTACCAACTCGGACCCAAGACCAACTCGGACCCACTACCAACTCGGACCCAAGCACGACCAACTCAGACCCAACAATGACTTAATCATTAGTTTCAGAGATTATATTTATACATGTAGGTCATCTTAATAGTGCTTATATAGTGAAGATATTCGGTAATTATATTGGTCAGAATGGGGCTTTTAGTTTTGTTGTTTGATTATACTACATTGATTTTGCACTCTTATTACTCATTCACATGAAGAAATGGATATGTGCAATGTTTTCCTTTTTCATCTGCTTTTTGTGGGTGTGTGCCAAATAATCAGTGTTGTAGGTCTCGAGACCGGTCTCGAGACCACTTTTTGCTGGTCTTGGTCTCGGTCTCAGAAGCTGTGGTCTCGGTCTTGGTCTCGGTCTTGGTCCCCTTTAGCCCCATAAATGTGGCCTATTTACTGGACTGCCTCCGTAAACATAGGCCACACATCCACATGTACAAAAATCGTGTCGACGGAGCCAAATTTTGATTTTCACATTTAGGCTTAGTTTGTAGGGTTTTTTTGCTTTAGAAGCATACTCACCCTCTTTATAGGCTAATCAGAAAGTGCTGCCTTTTTCAGATGTATATTTTTCGTGAAATTTCCAGATTCATTTTTACACGTTTGTGTATCAAAATTTCAAAATGAAATTTCACAAAAATTAGACATCTGAAAAAGGCAGCACTTTCTGATTAGCCTGTAAAGAGGGTGAGTATGCTTCTAAAGCAAAAAAAACCTACAAACTAAGCCTAAATGTGAAAATCAAGATTTTTGTACATGTGGATGTGTGGCCTATGTTTACGGAGGCAGTCCAGTAAATAGGCCACATTTATGGGGCTAGGTCCCCTTTGGTCTCGATATTTTGGCTCGTCTCGGGTTGAGACCGGCAATATGTAGCTTTTACAGCTTGATCGATTACTTTTTGTTTACTTCGTTCAGTACAATTAATAGTTAAAACATTTGCTAGCCCGTAGATCAAGCTTGTTATATATCGCGGTCGGTTTGGACTTGACAGCACGTTGGAAAGTCTCCAAAGTACATGTAAAGCTGCAGCAGTTCCAGTCACTGAACGATTTGGAACAAGTTCGGCATTTATCTGTTGAGTCGGGCACATAAAGCAAAGTATAAACTTCTAACAATTTATACAATAAGGGTCAACCATTTTTGGGGATTGTGTAGTTTAGCCCACCCCTGTGGGCGTAATCACTTGCATTTTGTATTCTGATAATAAATGAGGTGCTTCAAATTAGTTATATATTTTCGACCCCACACAATGATCTCTTTAATTTGGGACAGTATTTTGAAGAAAAAGTAAATATTTCAACCTGATTTTCCAGCATTGAACTCACACACTCTTACCAGTTACCACTCACTGTTGCCATGAGAGTGTATGATGAGACCCCATTTTCTGGCTGCTCAGTTTGAAGTACCCCATTATTCCTCAAAAATTAAAATCCCGTTCAGAAAAAAATTAAAAATCCATATCTGGCACATACTGGCTACCACCTCACAACTTGTGGGTCTACATGTACAAGTCCACATTCTATGACAGAAATTTAAAAATTGATTCAACATTTTCTAGCTCCCATTTTTTAAAATCAAGTACATGCACACAAGTCTTGTTAGAAGTTAAGTCCTATATTTATTTAAGGAAAAAAAGAGGCACAATGTAAAATTAAAATTGCATCTTTAAATATCCGTTAGAAGTCATAGCTGAAACCAAGGGGTGACTGTGGAGTTTAGGATCCGAGTTCCTATAACAGATGAAACATCTACCTTTAACTTTTACTTTTGTCAAGATTGGGTGCAGCCCATTATATTTCTTAAGTATAACTACTTTTTGCTCAAGTAACGTGTCATGTATCAATTTGTCAACACTGCCACTGGTCAAAATTTTGGTCTGTAATCTTTGTGAATAGAAAGGTTACAAGTTTCAACTATAATAACGTGTCTTGTTTTTTTATTTCGACTATTGTTATTTATTATCAGCGGTCTTGGTCTCGGTCTCGGTCTCGGACCATATTGGTCTCCGCCTTGAAGGGGCTGGTCTCGGTCTCGGTCTCGGACTATGCGGTCTCAACTACAACCCTGCAAATAATATAAACCAAATTAAATCACACTCAATGAAGGATTTCAATATGTCACAAAAATGTTGTTCAGTGAGGAAGTTATTAATTTGAAATACATGTAGACCTTTCATTTCATGTAATTGTTAGTTTGTTTAATTTTTTTTTTTTTTTACGAATCTGTTTAACTTTTTATACTTTTTTGATTAACTTTTTTCCCCCATGGAACATCATAGTCGAACATACAGACAGCTAATGTACCTGTAAGGCCTTGAAGGATAATCTTCCCAGAGCTCCAATACTCCTTTTTGATGATTGACATTTCATAATTGTAGGGTATTTAATAAGTTGATCTTTTTTTTAGTTCACATGCTGGCTTTGAGTTTTGTGGGTTTTTTAACGAATCTGTGTAACTTACTTTTTTGATTAACCTTTTTTGTTCAATATGGAACCTTCGTTTTTCTTGCAGTGTATGCAATGGTGTTTATGTGTTTTTTTTTGTTAAATACATATACAAATGTACATGTAGAAATTAGAATAGACTTTGTTTTATACTTTATTTATTTTATTGAATGACTTATAATGTTTACTTATATTTATTGAATTAATCGTGTCATGTTTGAAAGTGTTTATGTTTCAATGTCATACTTTCCAATTTTATTTTTCTATGAAGATCTGTTTTGAATTTATGTGGTTTGAATTAAAAATGAAATGAATTGCTGTTAAATTGAGCAAGATGGCGTGAACGATGTCAAATATGAAAATGAATAATTGGTTAAACTTTAATTTTAAATTTTACTTTTGGTTAAAGCGCAATATGTTTCAATGGAAACAAATAATAAAAATAAATAATTAATTACACTTTTAAAGCGCATTTCAAAAAAGCATTTCAATGCGCTTTACGACGACAAACTGCTGCAATACAGATATTTTACCTGACAACTACAATGAAAATTTATACTTAAAAGCATCACTGTATTAACAGATGATAAGTGGACAAACTTTATGAAATTGTCAAATAATTGTAAAAGTCCGAGTTGGTCATGCATGGGTCTGAGTTGGTAGTGGGTCCGAGTTGGTTGTGGATCCGAGTTGGTAGTGGGTCCGATTGAGTTGGCGTGGGTCCGAGTTGGTAGTGGGTCCGAGTTGGCCTGGGTCCGAGTTGGCTTGGGTCCGACTTGGTTTGGGTCCGAGTTGGATCGAAACCAGCCAAATTACCACTTAGCCAAATTACTGCTTTGCCCAATTACCACTTCGCCGAAAGTATTTGCTAACACATTATGCTCGCATGCACAAACTCATGGTAATTATAACAGCTGACTGGTACTTAATATTAAGTGGTTTTCATACTTGTTGTGTCTTCTATTACTAGGTTTATGTGACATTGTCCTCTCAATTCACTTTGAAAGTGCAGAAGTGGAATTTATAAAATATATTAATCATTGACTGTCCGTACACGGTGACCATGTTTTTGGTCGCACACAGTTAATTCTGAAACTTTTTTTTTTTCTTTTAAATCTTCATCCCCTTCAGTACTGTTTCAAGTTGACTATAGAATGAAAAAAGTTGAATCTCATATGGGTTTGGATAGGAAGGGGTAAAACAACCCCAAGTTTTTCATGTAGCTCGTTTTTATGGCTCCATACATACATGTACGTGTCTGTAGGCATTTCTTTATGGTGTAAATCAAGGACACACACATGCAACATCATCAGTGAATTGTAAATGGAAGACGAGTTTGATTAGAAAACGTGTACTAAACCAATGAGAGCAGATGCAAAAATGTTCAGAGTATAAACAAAGGAAAGGGAAGAGAAACATTAGAAAATCCTTGATTTACACCATAACAAACTTGTTAGTACGTGCGTTTGCGTGCAATTCGGCGAAGTGGTCATTCAGCGAAGTGGTAATTCGACGGAGTGGCAAGTAGGCGAAGTGGTTATTCGGTGAAGTAGCAAATCGTTGAAGTGGTTGTCGACAAAGAGGTTGGTTGGCAAAGCGACTGCAAAAACCTTGTCACAATAGCAGTGCTACTGCCTGTCCTGAGGCTGAATTGAATCCATGTACATGTACCTGTAATCTGTATGTTGTGCAGATGGATGGTGACTGTTTATACTTAAAAACATCACTGTATTAACAGATGATAAGTGGACAAACTTTATGAAATTGTCAAATAATTGTAAACGCTGTCAAATGATTGTAAAAGATGAGTCCGAGTTGGTCATGCATGGGTCCGAGTTGGTAGTGGGTCCGAGTTGGTTGTGGATCCGAGTTGGTAGTGGGTCCGATTGAGTTGGCGTGGGTCCGAGTTGGTAGTGGGTCCGAGTTGGCCTGGGTCCGAGTTGGCTTGGGTCCGACTTGGTTTGGGTCCGAGTTGGATCGAAACCAGCCAAATTACCACTTAGCCAAATTACTGCTTTGCCCAATTACCACTTCGCCGAAAGTATTTGCTAACACATTATGCTCGCATGCACAAACTCATGGTAATTATAACAGCTGACTGGTACTTAATATTAAGTGGTTTTCATACTTGTTGTGTCTTCTTTTACTAGGTTTATGTGACATTGTCCTCTCAATTCACTTTGAAAGTGAAGAAGTGGAATTTATAAAATATATTAATCATTGACTGTCCGTACACGGTGACCATGTTTTTGGTCGCACACAGTTAATTCTCAGAAACTTTTTTTTTTTTCTTTTTAAATCTTCATCCCCTTCAGTACTGTTTCAAGTTGACTATAGAATGAAAAAAGTTGAATCTCATATGGGTTTGGATAGGAAGGGGTAAAACAACCCCAAGTTTTTCATGTAGCTCATTTTTATGGCTCCATACATACATGTACGTGTCTGTAGGCATTTCTTTATGGTGTAAATCAAGGACACACACATGCAACGTCATCAATGAATTGTAAATGGAAGACGAGTTCGATTAGAAAACGTGTACTAAACCAATGAGAGCAGATGCAAAAATGTTCAGAGTATAAACAAAGGAAAGGGAAGAGAAACATTAGAAAATCCTTGATTTACACCATAACAAACTTGTTAGTACGTGCGTTTGCGTGCAATTCGGCGAAGTGGTCATTCAGCGAAGTGGTAATTCGACGGAGTGGCAAGTAGGCGAAGTGGTTATTCGGTGAAGTAGCAAATCGTTGAAGTGGTTGTCGACAAAGAGGTTGGTAGGCAAAGCGACTGCAAAAACCTTGTCACAATAGCAGTGCTACTGCCTGTCCTGAGGCTGAATTGAATCCATGTACATGTATATATACATTGTACCTGTAATCTGTATGTTGTGCAGATGGATGGTGACTGTTGGGGAGGATTCTTTGATTGGCAATGACGGACTGACAACCTTGCGGGCAGAGTACAGGTCATTGTTTGCAGGGCTGGGTAGAGCTTCAAGTTCTCTCTAGGTGTGCTTCACAAAACAGGTCTCTATTAATGTTGTGCATTTTTCCAATAATTTAGTCTTTGAATATTGGAACTTGAATTTGAACAAAAAAATCATCCAATGACATTGAAATAATTTGGAATGTATCGATATAGATTTTGAGCTAGCTGACAACCTGGCATTTGGCAGATATTGAAGATCCACATTAGGGCTTACATTCCTCATGAAAACTCTCAAACCATCTGCGTAAAGTGTGGCGTTTGACTAAACAAATCAAATCTCTCAACTTAAACTCATAAAATCACATCATGGACGGTTTTTTGTCATTGCTCACATTAAAAAAACAATTCAATTTGATAAAATGCTATTCGGATATTCGGTGGATGATCAAATATTTGGATATTCGGTATATTTTGCACAACCCTTGTCTAGACTAAGCAATTGCAATTTGTTCCACACTAGTGCAAAAGTATGTTTAGAGATGATGCATTCATGAACATGTATGAATGTTGGTGCTGCTTTAATACCCCACATGTACAATCAGTTACACGTATAATGTGATATGGAAGTAAACAAACCCTGTTAGTTTGGATTTACCAAAGGTGTACTAACTTGAACTTTTCCAATGATTTGATTTGTACTTGACAGAATCCAGCATCTGTTATCATTATCAAGCCCATCAGGTCCTGAAGTGACATACTTCCACAAAGAACCATCAACGCGGGCAATTGTCACACAGAAACACCCACAAAAGAGACATCCACATGCAGGTCAGTGTGTAACACCGCACTGGCAACTCTACCAACGGGGCTGCAGACTCATATTTGTCAATGTCCTTGGCCAAAATTTGTTAATCAATTCCCTCGCCCATCCATGGGCAATTCTACAGAATTATAAACCTGAATGCCAACAATTCTTAATGGCCAAAATGCCACAAAAGAAATATACATATCAATTTGAAGCATATTATCTGTATTTTATTGACATGTAGTTTATTTAAAAGGGAAGATACAACATCATTGCAAACATCAAAAAACGAAATGATCAAATTATGACGAAATATATTACTGGACTGTCAGTGAATGACAGTCTAAAGCATCCTGTAAAATTCATATTTAGTCATTCCGCATTTTCTTTGCAATCAATTACGCATCTGTGTAGGGGTACAAGCCTGCTAGACTGATTCTCTGACCTAACTTCCTCAAAGTGTACAAAGTGCTACGTCTCATCTTACGTCTCATGTCACCAGACCACAAGAACATGGTTGGATTTCTTAGATTTTCTGGCATTTCCGAACCCAAAACGTGAAATAGGTCAGTTTAAAGGGAAGATACAACATTGGCAAATATTACAAAACGATATGAACAAAGTATCACTAAATACCTTAGTGGATTGTTAGGGGATGACAGCCTAAAGCATCCTGTAAAATCGTGGCTCCTGGTGTGCTGACATTTAAAAAAAAAAATGGTATTTTTCCAACGCTGGTCGGCCCGACCAGCAATGGAGAAAACTGTTGTTTTTTTTAAAACTACTCCTAATTTTTCATAATTAGTTATTCTGTGTTTTCTGTGCAATTGATTACACACCTTTGAAGGGGTACAAGCCTACTAGACTGCCTCTCTGATCTTACAATCCCCCAAAGTCTATAAATTCTCCGTTTCATCTTAAATGGGGTCTGTGAACCAGACTACAAGAACATGAATGGTTTTCTTGGTTTTTCCAACATCTACAAGCCCAAACGTGAAACAAGTCATTTTAACAATATTTGCTAAAACATACTAATCCTCCAAATCCATTTATTTCTGATTATTGCAGCAAAAGCAAATGTTGTACATGCCCTTTAACAATATTTTTTATAGCACACTAATCCCCCAGATGCACTTATTTTGAACATTGCAGCAAAAGCAAATGTTGTACATTCCCTAACAAGTTCAACAGTTTGGCTGTTACTTGTAAATGGAAAATCAATTGATGACAATACAAAAAATTGATTTGTCTGAGTACGTCCGGTGTTTTGAGCCAATTTCTACTACAGCAACAAAGTTGGATGAATAATTTCTTCTTTGACTCATCAAAGTAACTAGTGACTAACTGATATGTTTTATCAGAATTAAAATCTACCCCGTGATTATAACTACAATTACATACACTGTTGAATTGCCCAAAATGTACGTCTGACACTGCGGAACTGCCCCCATTTAAACATTATTAAGAGTAAACCTAGTCAAGTTCCCTTGTATTGGGTATTTTAAGTGTCAACAGTTCTTCAAGTTGTCCTAAATGTCTCATCCTTTTCCAAACAAGCAAACAACTCAAGGAATGCCATGGATAAGCCAGTTCGGTATTTCAACTGCTTATGTGCACAACGATATGGGTCACCGGTCATTCGGGATAGTAGAACGATCAAAGGCGCATGAATGCGGGTGCGCGACGCTTGTGTGTAAATTACCACCAGAGTGGTCGTGCGCGTAACATCGCCTAACATCGTGTCAGCAATGTTATCCCAAATGACCTCAGGTCATTGAAATACAGAACTGGTTTATTACAATGAATTACAGTCGGGCATTAGAAGACTTTTGACCCAACTTTGAACATTGCATTTTATTCTGGCAAACAATTATATATCTGCACACACTGTCCATCAGATTTCAAAGGTATATGAAGGTGTAACCTGTAATTTCCAAGACGTCTCATGTTTTCTTCTTACTTGCCTGTCTGGTTTTTTTTTTCCAGAGGGTGAAATATTGGGGTTTAAAAGCCAGAGTGCCAAGCAGACCACAGAACAACAGAACACGGAGGAATGCACAACACAGAGTTACTGCTAACACAAAAGGTAGGTAGAGATTACATACCGGTATGGTTGAGGCAAAGGGTGGTTGATAAAACATTGCAAAGCCAACACTCCTCAGATCTCATACCAACCATATCAGGCCCATTTTTAGTATTTGTGGGTCAGATAAACTAGTGGATCATAGTATTAATACAATGTATGTCAAATCAGGTTTTGCCCTTCATTGATGTATAAACACTGAATACTCAGTGTGTTACCTCCTGAGTAAAAGTTGGAAAAAATCACTCGGTTGGGACTCGAACCCACAACCTCCTGCTTTCTAGTGCAGATGTTTTACCACTTGACCACTGAGCTAATGGGATCGGTTGGCTGGCTCGAATCTGATGTATTGGTACATGGCAGCGGGCATCGCATTAACTATTTATAAGGTCTATGGGATTTAAATTTTTTTTAAAGCATTAATATGGTTAAGGTTTGTGACTCATGATCAGAGGGTCAGGGGTCCGAATCTAGTTGCCGGTTATATGTGTGTCCTTGGGCAAGCCACTTCACCCCCACTTGCCTCTCTCCACCCAGGAGTATAAATGGGTACCGATATTAGCTGGGAAGTAACCTGCAATGGACTGGCATCCTATCCAGGGGGGATAAAAAAATATCCTCGGTCGTTTCATGCCTTTGAAACCGGAGATGTATTGGCTAATGACAGACTTTACTTACTTTCATAGTATTAATAGTAAATATATATATCTGTTGCAGCTTTTGGTAGGTGTGTTGATAATTCCTTGATCAGCTGATGAAATTACCTGTAGTTACTCCCCTGAGAAGTGAGTTTGGCAAAAAAGCCGCCTCATCATACCATGAACTTTCCAAGATTAGTTACATACGTTATCCCAGTAAAGTTGCTTCAATCACGATAATTGATCAGATCATCTCCAAAATGGTGGTTTCTTTTGTCCGAGTCTGTACCAGCAGGTTGATCCTGTTACCATCCATCAATATTTTCCAATCCTCATTTCAGTCCAACAGCGCCCAGCCCAAAGCTGTCCATCCTGATTCAGACCAGCAGCAGGCAGAGCCAGAGAGTCTGTTGCTACAGATTGAAGCTCTACAATCTCAGATGAAGGAACAAGCTGAGCTATCTAGAGAGCGGACGGAAGCCTTGCTGGAGGATCGTAGGGTCAGGATGGAAGAGATGCAGACTGTGATTGAGAGAGATCGCTCCAAGATTCACTCCCTCAATGAAAAGTAGGAACTCCCTTCATTGATTCCTTATAATCTTAAATGAACTTGACAAAGGTGCCCAGTGGCATAGCTAATGATAGGGAGGAGGATGAGGGGCATGGACCCCTCTGCTCAAAGACTGCCTCCTACTAGAAACTGAGGTCCCTTTAGGGCCCTCCAGCAACTTGGACCCCAGTTACATCCTTGAAGGTACCAATAAAGATAAATGCACATGTGTGCAGTTTGGACAACGGGCAGGGGTTTCAAATAGATTATATTACCTGGTGTTTGTGTTGTTGCATGAATTGGCAAAACATTTCTAAATATGTGGAGTGCCCTGGCCTCATGGTCTGGAGCATTGAACTCGTTGTCTGCGGGTAATTCTACAGGTTGTGGGTTCGAGTCCAGCCTGGGGTTATGGTGCATGTTCCCTTTGGCAAGACACTTTGTCACTCATTGCTTCGCCCCACCCAGGAGTAAATGGGTACCTGTGAGAACAGAGATCGCAATTGTGATTGATTTTAGCTACCTTGCGTCGAAATGACTACACCGAGCTGTATGGGCTTTATTCAGGAGTCGACTATATTAAATTGAAAGCGAGGTAAAATCTTCATATTTGGAACTTGCAAAGAGAAATTAAAGCAGTGACATAAAATTAATTACAAATTAATACCAGTCTGCTTTAATGAAAATTTAAATTTGTTGTTAAACATACCCTAATGTTTTTAAGCCACATTTAAAATAAAAATTGAAAGTGAGGCTAGAATGCAAAAATAGTCTGGCACCATCCTATTCAATAGTTTATAAATACTGTCAGGGAACATGACTAAAATGACTTCCTCGTGAACAAAAATCCATATTCCACAGGAAGCTGAGATTGTATTTGCAATGTTTCATTGGCCCAATGATCAGGGGTAATAATAATGTAAAGCACTTTGATCTTAGTTATTTTAGAAACCACAGTCTTTCCACACTAGTATATTGGCAACACATCTTGCCAAAATAACATGGAGGCATATGCAGTGTGTGCTTGCTGAAATTACATGAGTCAATTGACTAATAAAACCAAATTAGGTTTTGTCCATCACCGATGTATAAACACTGTATTCTCAGTGTGTTTCCTCCCGAGTGAAAGTTGGAAAAAAATCACTCCGGTGGGACTCGAACCCACGACCTCCTGCTTTCTATTGCAGATGTCTTACCATCTTATGAATAGTTAATGTAGTACCCGCTGCTATGTACATCAGATTCGAACCAGCCAACTGATCCCGTTAGCTCGGTGGTCAAGTGGTAAGACATCTGCACTAGAAAGCAGGAGGTCATGGGTTCGACCGGAGTGATTTTTTTCAACTTTAGGGAATGACAGCCTAAAGCATCCTGTAAAATCGTGGCTCCTGGTGTGTCGCATTTTAAAAAAAAATGGTATTTTTCCAACGCTGGTCGGCCGACCAGCAATGTCTGGTTTTTTTTTTCCAGAGGGTGAAATATTGGGTTTAAAAGCCGAAGTGCCAAGCAGACCACAGAACAACAGAACACGGAGGAATGCACAACACAGAGTTACTGCTAACACAAAAGGTAGGTAGAGATTACATACCGGTATGGTTGAGGCAAAGGGTGGTTGATAAAACATTGCAAAGCCAACACTCCTCAGATCTCATACCAACCATATCAGGCCCATTTTTAGTATTTGTGGGTCAGATAAACTAGTGGATCATAGTATTAATACAATGTATGTCAAATCAGGTTTTGCCCTTCATTGATGTATAAACACTGAATACTCAGTGTGTTACCTCCTGAGTAAAAGTTGGAAAAAATCACTCGGTTGGGACTCGAACCCACAACCTCCTGCTTTCTAGTGCAGATGTTTTACCACTTGACCACTGAGCTAATGGGATCGGTTGGCTGGCTCGAATCTGATGTATTGGTACATGGCAGCGGGCATCGCATTAACTATTTATAAGGTCTATGGGATTTTAAGTTTTTTTTAAGCATTAATATGGTTAAGGTTTGTGACTCATGATCAGAGGGTCAGGGGTCCGAATCTAGTTGCCGGTTATATGTGTGTCCTTGGGCAAGCCACTTCACCCCCACTTGCCTCTCTCCACCCAGGAGTATAAATAGGTACCGATATTAGCTGGGAAGTAACCTGCAATGGACTGGCATCCTATCCAGGGGGGATAAAAAATATCCTCGGTCGTTTCATGCCTTTGAAACCGGAGATGTATTGGCTAATGACAGACTTTACTTACTTTCATAGTATTAATAGTAAATATATATATCTGTTGCAGCTTTTGGTAGGTGTGTTGATAATTCCTTGATCAGCTGATGAAATTACCTGTAGTTACTCCCCTGAGAAGTGAGTTTAGTTACATACGTTATCCCAGTAAAGTTGCTTCAATCACGATAATTGATCAGATCATCTCCAAAAGGGTGGTTTCTTTTGTCCGAGTCTGTACCAGCAGGTTGATCCTGTTACCATCCATCAATATTTTCCAATCCTCATTTCAGTCCAACAGCGCCCAGCCCAAAGCTGTCCATCCTGATTCAGACCAGCAGCAGGCAGAGCCAGAGAGTCTGTTGCTACAGATTGAAGCTCTACAATCTCAGATGAAGGAACAAGCTGAGCTATCTAGAGAGCAGACGGAAGCCTTGCTGGAGGATCGTAGGGTCAGGATGGAAGAGATGCAGACTGTGATTGAGAGAGATCGCTCCAAGATTCACTCCCTCAATGAAAAGTAGGAACTCCCTTCATTGATTCCTTATAATCTTAAATGAACTTGACAAAGGTGCCCAGTGGCATAGCTAATGATAGGGGAGGAGGATGAGGGGCATGGACCCCTCTGCTCAAAGACTGCCTCCTACTAGAAACTGAGGTCCCTTTAGGGCCCTCCAGCAACTTGGACCCCAGTTACATCCTTGAAGGTACCAATAAAGATAAATGCACATGTGTGCAGTTTGGACAACGGGCAGGGGTTTCAAATAGATTATATTACCTGGTGTTTGTGTTGTTGCATGAATTGGCAAAACATTTCTAAATATGTGGAGTGCCCTGGCCTCATGGTCTGGAGCATTGAACTCGTTGTCTGCGGGTAATTCTACAGGTTGTGGGTTCGAGTCCAGCCTGGGGTTATGGTGCATGTTCCCTTTGGCAAGACACTTTGTCACTCATTGCTTCGCCCCACCCAGGAGTAAATGGGTACCTGTGAGAACAGAGATCGCAATTGTGATTGATTTTAGCTACCTTGCGTCGAAATGACTACACCGAGCTGTATGGGCTTTATTCAGGAGTCGACTATATTAAATTGAAAGCGAGGTAAAATCTTCATATTTGGAACTTGCAAAGAGAAATTAAAGCAGTGACATAAAATTAATTACAAATTAATACCAGTCTGCTTTAATGAAAATTTAAATTTGTTGTTAAACATACCCTAATGTTTTTAAGCCACATTTAAAATAAAAATTGAAAGTGAGGCTAGAATGCAAAAATAGTCTGGCACCATCCTATTCAATAGTTTATAAAATACTGTCAGGGAACATGACTAAAATGACTTCCTCGTGAATAAAAATCCATATTCCACAGGAAGCTGAGATTGTATTTGCAATGTTTCATTGGCCCAATGATCAGGGGTAATAATAATGTAAAGCACTTTGATCTTAGTTATTTTAGAAACCACAGTCTTTCCACACTAGTATATTGGCAACACATCTTGCCAAAATAACATGGAGGCATATGCAGTGTGTGCTTGCTGAAATTACATGAGTCAATTGACTAATAAAACCAAATTAGGTTTTGTCCATCACCGATGTATAAACACTGTATTCTCAGTGTGTTTCCTCCCGAGTGAAAGTTGGAAAAAAATCACTCCGGTGGGACTCGAACCCACGACCTCCTGCTTTCTATTGCAGATGTCTTACCATCTTATGAATAGTTAATGTAGTACCCGCTGCTATGTACATCAGATTCGAACCAGCCAACTGATCCCGTTAGCTCGGTGGTCAAGTGGTAAGACATCTGCACTAGAAAGCAGGAGGTCATGGGTTCGACCGGAGTGATTTTTTTCAACTTTAGGGAATGACAGCCTAAAGCATCCTGTAAAATCGTGGCTCCTGGTGTGCTGACATTTAAAAAAAAAATGGTATTTTTTCCAACGCTGGTCGGCCGACCAGCAATGTCTGGTTTTTTTTTTTCCAGAGGGTGAAATATTGGTTTAAAAGCCGAATGCCAGCAGACCACAGAACAACAGAACACGGAGGAATGCACAACACAGAGTTACTGCTAACACACAAAAGGTAGGTAGAGATTACATACCGGTATGGTTGAGGCAAAGGGTGGTTGATAAAACATTGCAAAGCCAACACTCCTCAGATCTCATACCAACCATATCAGGCCCATTTTTAGTATTTGTTGGTCAGATAAACTAGTGGATCATAGTATTAATACAATGTATGTCAAATCAGGTTTTGCCCTTCATTGATGTATAAACACTGAATACTCAGTGTGTTACCTCCTGAGTAAAAGTTGGAAAAAATCACTCGGTTGGGACTCGAACCCACAACCTCCTGCTTTCTAGTGCAGATGTTTTACCACTTGACCACTGAGCTAATGGGATCGGTTGGCTGGCTCGAATCTGATGTATTGGTACATGGCAGCGGGCATCGCATTAACTATTTATAAGGTCTATGGGATTTTAAGTTTTTTTTAAGCATTAATATGGTTAAGGTTTGTGACTCATGATCAGAGGGTCAGGGGTCCGAATCTAGTTGCCGGTTATATGTGTGTCCTTGGGCAAGCCACTTCACCCCCACTTGCCTCTCTCCACCCAGGAGTATAAATAGGTACCGATATTAGCTGGGAAGTAACCTGCAATGGACTGGCATCCTATCCAGGGGGATAAAAAAATATCCTCGGTCGTTTCATGCCTTTGAAACCGGAGATGTATTGGCTAATGACAGACTTTACTTACTTTCATAGTATTAATAGTAAATATATATATCTGTTGCAGCTTTTGGTAGGTGTGTTGATAATTCCTTGATCAGCTGATGAAATTACCTGTAGTTACTCCCCTGAGAAGTGAGTTTAGTTACATACGTTATCCCAGTAAAGTTGCTTCAATCACGATAATTGATCAGATCATCTCCAAAAGGGTGGTTTCTTTTGTCCGAGTCTGTACCCAGGTTGATCCTGTTACCATCCATCAATATTTTCCAATCCTCATTTCAGTCCAACAGCGCCCAGCCCAAAGCTGTCCATCCTGATTCAGACCAGCAGCAGGCAGAGCCAGAGAGTCTGTTGCTACAGATTGAAGCTCTACAATCTCAGATGAAGGAACAAGCTGAGCTATCTAGAGAGCAGACGGAAGCCTTGCTGGAGGATCGTAGGGTCAGGATGGAAGAGATGCAGACTGTGATTGAGAGAGATCGCTCCAAGATTCACTCCCTCAATGAAAAGTAGGAACTCCCTTCATTGATTCCTTATAATCTTAAATGAACTTGACAAAGGTGCCCAGTGGCATAGCTAATGATAGGGGAGGAGGATGAGGGGCATGGACCCCTCTGCTCAAAGACTGCCTCCTACTAGAAACTGAGGTCCCTTTAGGGCCCTCCAGCAACTTGGACCCCAGTTACATCCTTGAAGGTACCAATAAAGATAAATGCACATGTGTGCAGTTTGGACAACGGGCAGGGGTTTCAAATAGATTATATTACCTGGTGTTTGTGTTGTTGCATGAATTGGCAAAACATTTCTAAATATGTGGAGTGCCCTGGCCTCATGGTCTGGAGCATTGAACTCGTTGTCTGCGGGTAATTCTACAGGTTGTGGGTTCGAGTCCAGCCTGGGGTTATGGTGCATGTTCCCTTTGGCAAGACACTTTGTCACTCATTGCTTCGCCCCACCCAGGAGTAAATGGGTACCTGTGAGAACAGAGATCGCAATTGTGATTGATTTTAGCTACCTTGCGTCGAAATGACTACACCGAGCTGTATGGGCTTTATTCAGGAGTCGACTATATTAAATTGAAAGCGAGGTAAAATCTTCATATTTGGAACTTGCAAAGAGAAATTAAAGCAGTGACATAAAATTAATTACAAATTAATACCAGTCTGCTTTAATGAAAATTTAAATTTGTTGTTAAACATACCCTAATGTTTTTAAGCCACATTTAAAATAAAAATTGAAAGTGAGGCTAGAATGCAAAAATAGTCTGGCACCATCCTATTCAATAGTTTATAAAATACTGTCAGGGAACATGACTAAAATGACTTCCTCGTGAATAAAAATCCATATTCCACAGGAAGCTGAGATTGTATTTGCAATGTTTCATTGGCCCAATGATCAGGGGTAATAATAATGTAAAGCACTTTGATCTTAGTTATTTTAGAAACCACAGTCTTTCCACACTAGTATATTGGCAACACATCTTGCCAAAATAACATGGAGGCATATGCAGTGTGTGCTTGCTGAAATTACATGAGTCAATTGACTAATAAAACCAAATTAGGTTTTGTCCATCACCGATGTATAAACACTGTATTCTCAGTGTGTTTCCTCCTCCCGAGTGAAAGTTGGAAAAAAATCACTCCGGTGGGACTCGAACCCACGACCTCCTGCTTTCTATTGCAGATGTCTTACCATCTTATGAATAGTTAATGTAGTACCCGCTGCTATGTACATCAGATTCGAACCAGCCAACTGATCCCGTTAGCTCGGTGGTCAAGTGGTAAGACATCTGCACTAGAAAGCAGGAGGGTCATGGGTTTGACCGGAGTGATTTTTTTCAACTTTCACTCGGGAGGTACACAGAGAGTATACAGTGTTTATATGTCGGTGAAGGGCAAAACCTAATTTGATTTACATCACCCCGACGCAAAATGAAATGAAATCTTATGAATGACTAATAGACACTTACCGTTCTTTAAACAAAAGTAGAATGTGTATCCTTTATTCAGCTACCTTGTTCAACCATCATACATCACTTGTCATGGACATTCTTCTGTTAATAGGTTACATCGTACACAGCAGATGTTGTATGACAGCACTAAGGACTATCTAGAGCTGAAGTATGAAGGACGATCTCAGGAGCGAGTCTGGATGGCAGAGAAGGACCGTCTACTACAGGAGCTGGATCGATGTAAGGAACACTAGATGTCTCCAAAGATGACGTCTTAGTCATCTCAGATCATGCACTGGAAGAGAGACAAACACAGAACTTGGAAATTGAGGTGGGCATTATAGAGAAGCTTCCTGCACAAAGAAATCATTTCAAGTTAAATACAATACAATAATGATCATTTTCAAGCAAATTCGTTTGAATTGCTTTAAAAAAAGAACTAACTTTTCCATTCAGAAATCATTTTTTTTTCAAAAGTTAGCAAAACAAAAGAATCTTGTTACAAAGTCACAACTGAATGGCCCCCTCAAAAGCTGCAATCAAACTATTGGGGTAATCGCACATAAGGAGCATTTTGGACTTTGGCAGATCTACTTTATTCAGTGTTGTACAAATGATACTGAATGATTGCAACGTGGTGGTTTTAGTCTGACGATCTCTTCCATGCAAAATCTTGAGGAAGGCGAGGAGAGCATAGAAGACAAATTTCACACCGCAGTTGTTGTACGAAAAAGACGGCAGGCCTAATGCCAAACTTTTTCCAGTTCCACCTACCATGCGTTAGTGGACTTGTTGTCTTGGACTTTTTCCTTGACTTTCTCCGTGTCTCAAGTAAGATGTGAATTTCTTTAATTACGAGTCAGAAACTCCAACCCTAATTCGGGCTTTTTAATCTTATGGAAACACTGAACATTTTTCACATCGTAAAATTTCATTTGGATCTACATGTACATGTAAAAGAAAAAAGGAGGCGATGTCCAGAAATTGAACACGAAGTTTATTGTACATATAGTACGTATGTGTACTTGCGGCGCAGCCCAGATTTCGGACACAGAATTTTGGCCGGCCTATTTTCAGATTTTTTCCCCATAGGCCAGTTTCATCCCTGTATGGTCTGTGACTTGAAACATAGATGAGTTTGTGAACAGAACGGGACAAAAAAAACACAGAACCGGGCCTGCGGATCTCGATTTCAAATAAAAGTTGCTGAATCATGTTGCTGAATCATGTTTTGAATTGGGCCTGAATTGAGACACATTCTCATTGAGCCGATTGCAGCTACGCGGTGTCATGCACTGATACGATGAATTAAGGCAACTGCGCGCACGTTTGCATCGTGTCAACGCTTGTGCGTGCTTCGCGCCAATAAAAAAGCGAACTACTAACAGAAATTTCCAACGATGCGTCTGAAGACCTTCTTTTGTTGATTTCTTCAAAATGACAGCATGTCAGAAAGAATAATTTCAGAGAGAATTTAGTACTGTCAACCAACCAAGTATGTTTTTCAACGATAATTACATCAGTTACTTTTTGGATAGCTGCAAATGATGGACTGTAGCTTAAAATGACTAGAGACTTAACTTACTGTACAGAATGTACACTGCTGGGTGCGTCCATTTTTGTGCACAAACCTATGGAGAGCTCAGAATTTTTTACTGCTTTTGGGCAATTCCACGGTAACGGAAGGACGTTTTCGCTCATTAAACAAAATTTCAAATGTGCCTATCACAGCCACTGTTATTAGTTACAGCAAGCAAATGTCACAATGGTATTGCTATAATGCTACCTTCAATTTCCACACTTTTGGGGGGCATGCATACCTCTCGTTAATGAATTATGAATATTAATGAGGTCGGTAACGGAAGGACGGTAAAACGGACGAGGGTTTTCCAACTTACACGCGTTTTGCATAAACTCTGTGAATTTTATGGGGCATTATATTTCAAAGGTAGGAAATGGAATCCCTGCGGCTTTATCTATACTATACCACCTTTCATTTGACTTTAAGTGTTTCGGTGATATAATTACAATGTCTTAAGTGGATTATAATTTGGTAGCGGAGGACGGTAACGGAAGGACAAAAGGTTTACTCAATTATAGCATGAATAAAATGTGAATTTACACTAATTATACAAGAAATAAATTGCTGAAATGTGTAACTGAATGTGAAATCAACAATATGCAGACCTGGCATAAATAATTATATACCCAAGAAACTATTGAGATAAAGATAGAAGCCTGCTAATTAATGATAACAAATGAAAAATGAAAACAAACCAAAAACACATAATTCACGAACACAAGACAACTACAGAAATGGACTTCAAACCCATCACCTTAATCCTTAAAAGTTTTAAATACACAGTATTTGAGCTTGAGTATATTGGTTACATGTTCACCAACAACTTTTAATAATAACACCAGTAGGTTCAGTGGTTTACCTAAAGGGTGGGGGGGGGGGGCAGGGGCGACCAGCTTACATGTACATTAAAAACATCTACAGGTAGAACTGATGGCTTCAGAATCATTGTGCTTTAAAAATGTTTTAGGTGTTGCTTTTAATTGAACTCTAAATTCAGTGTTTGAAATCAAATTTTAATGATTTAGAGTATTAACAATAATTATCTTATAAACATCCAGCCTGAAGTTGTTAACTTAATTTGTCAAAAATTGCACCTCACATGTCTTACACATGTAAATTGTATGAAAGTGCCCAATAGCACTGGTACTTTCTGCCATCTCATTTTTTACTTAATTTGCTTCTGGAATGGCTTCACAGAAATTGTATCTTTCTCTATTGTCCATGAATGGTGATAGCAGCAACTTAATGATTTGATTTTCTGCAACAACTCCATACATGTATGAGTACCGGTACATTGTCATACATGTACATTGTACATGTACATGTTATACATATGCCTGTGCCATCCTTTGTAATGAACACCTTGCCCTGCTCATACCAGCTTTGTGAAGGTGGGTCACATGAATGTCCTTTCAATGCGCATTATACATGCATGTAGTTGCAGTGATTTTCATTTTTCAAACATGAGCACAAATGTCGTTACATTTGATAAAAATAACATTTGTCCTTCCGTTACCGTCCTTCCGTTACCAATTTGGTAACGGAAGGACGGGATTTAATTAATTGTAATTAAAAAACGATACGTACAGCAGTGTCAGTTATAATGTCATATTGAAGGCCTACCTAAACTTGCTTTGGCACAATAACTTTCATTGCATTCATACTGCAAGTTTTGAAAATAAATTAAAAATATGTATTTTTTCGGTAACGAAAGGACATTTTCGAAGGCTGAAATATTAGAAGTCACTGAAGCGAAACAAATTACGCAAAACGTAAAAAAAAAAGGTCCAGTCAGTTTTTCATGACCTATACTTTCTCATGACAGAAACTGATGGCATGAGTACATATTTGTTTGTGTGGTTTGGTAGAAATACTGTCATATCACTATTTATCACATTTTT